GCTTACCAAAGTTGTACTAAAACATTTTTTAACAGATTTCTGCATGCCAAAATCGGTTCGAGGTCAGTAAGCACAACCAGAATTCATACATAAGGCACACTCTCAATTTTTGAGAAAATTAAAGAATTTTAAGTGTGCCTTATAGTGTAGAAAATACGCTATACAGAAGAAAAGAATATATCGTTACCGCACATGCTTCAAATTATATCGCGATATGAATTTTAGGCCATATCGCCCAGCCCTACTACATCACCTGTTCTTTACTTAACATGTTCACAAAGTTCAGTGTCCACGCCATCGGCCCAACGAGGTGACCTCCATCAACTTTCAGCTGTTCCAATTCCAGTTCCAACTACTTTTGTGTTTTTTGTTACTCAGGTTTTCTCATTTCCTTTCTTACATTCTGTCATCTTGTCCTAAATTTTAAGTAATTTGATTATTTTAGATGTACAGCTACTTTTTTCACATGCGTTATATAAACAAACTTGACTTTTACAGTCAAAGGGTTAAAAAATTTTTTTTAAAAACGTCAAATAATCCACCTACTTCTCCTTCAACAAGTCCTCCGATTTTCGGTGTCAGTTTGTGCAATTGCGTCCATGCTAAGCATCTCGGCAGAGCTTCACCTAAGCGACGAGAACAAGGTGACAGACGGAGGCTGCGACTCACATCGTAAATCACTTTAAAAGTCAGTAAAGGCTTCTCAGTTTTATACCTGGAGAAAGCAAAGAGTCGCTCTGAGAAAAACATTCATTGTTGTTTTTCAACCGTTTCTTGCCAAATGCTCTGGAAGTCGCTGAGTGTGGGGACTTTCCATCAGTAAATTGACTACATGTCGTCTCAGATGGATGAAAAAAATACACCTGGAGCATACAGTGCACACATTAACCGTGTTCATAAACATTAAATACTGGTCATGATTCAGTGATGCGGGTCAGAACAGGAAGTTATGTCTGTGTTTTTGTGCATCTCCGCCTGTGAATATTAGCACTTTGTTCACTGATGCGGGCGCGTGCTTTAAAACATAGATTTATTTTAAAAAAATAAAAGATCACACTGCTTTTAAAGGGGATTTTCTTCCTACAACAAGTCCTGGATCAAAACTTCACAGATGTAAAAGAGGCAGGGTTTAGCCTGCTCTGCACCCACTGGTCCACCCTTTGCTTTCAGTGTTGCAGATGAGCAGCTTTGACCTTCCTTTTCAAAAAAAAACCCCCCAAAAAACCCCAAAAACACGTCCTCGCCAAAAAATGCTGAGAATTTCCTGATTAGCCAGACTGAAGCCAAAGGGGCAGCATCCAAACATTCAGAGCAGCTTATCTCTGACTCCTCAGCTCCTCCCGCGACCCTGACGCTTCTCCCAGAAGCTCTGAAAACAGTCTGAAGGCCTCATGTTCACCTGTGTGGGCATGCCAACACTCTCGGTTGGTCACGGCATTTGAGGTGTGTGGCGGCATGTGTGTGCGCATCAGAATCTGAACACAGATAAGTTTCAGTTTCCTTCAGTCACATTCGCCCACACACTCCCTCTGTTTATAAAACTCATGATGCCTTCACTGGTGTCCGAGTCAGACAGGCTTAACATTTTTTTTTAAAAGGCAACCATTTTCAGTTAATGGTTTTTATTCTTAGATTCTTCTGAGTAACTTTGCATGACCCTCAGTTCATAATAATCCTTCTTTGTCTAACACGAGCCTCTGTGAAGCTCATTAGTGCGAAATAAGATGCTTTAGCCCCTCCCCCTTCGGGAAAACTTCTTCCGTTTGGCAGATGGGTGAGAGCGTATCCCCTCTCTGACATCATACCAATCAAAGTGTAAAACAAAACTGAAATCTACTAAACTGATACCTGAACTTCTGAATGACACATTTTGCCTCATTTACAGTTACTCTGCTCTGATCAGCTGACCAAACAAAGCACCTGTCGTACCGCAGGTGTACAAGTTTATATGTTTCTGATGCTAATAAGACATTTAACAAAAATGAATATTATCTGCTTGAGTGACTCCCAGAAAACAGAGATAAGGTGACCACGTGAAAGCCTTTAAACCTGAAATACAGGTCCCACTCCACCCATGTTGCTATGGTTACAGACCTGGAGTGAGACTAACGAGAGTCCTTTCACTGAGACAGCCTCAACTGTCAGGTAAAAGAGTGATATAAACACACATGCTGACATTACAAATAACAGCAAGTCATCATTGTCATCAAGTCATCAAAGACTCAAACTGCTTCTTTTAAACACAAATCTACATCCCACCCTCTGACCTTCGTAACTAACAGTGACACTGCTGAAACTCCTGGGACGGTAATGGCCACTCTGTGCATTTTTTCTGAGAAAAAAGGATTGTTTCCAAATATTTACAGGGTGATTCATCCTGGAATTTTTGACTCAGCCTTTGCCACAAACTTCTGGACAATGGGCCCCATTTCTGTCGGCCTGCAAGTGTTTTAAGGGGAGAAATCCTGACTTCACAGAGTAACCACTTTAAACAGGTTCACTGGAGTTTGGTTTGTCCACAGTCAGCTGTTCAGAAACCAGCCCAACGTGTCTGATATCAGGCTGGCCAACATACTCTAGGTGAAACCATCCACAGCTCACTTTCTGCTTTTAGATCACTGACGGTGTGACAGCCCTACAGCTTCTGCTCCATCATCATCATCATTATTACCATTATTGTTATTATTATTATTTCAGATGAATTGCTTTTTTGGCCAAAAAATGCTTGAGAACTTTTTTTTTTTTATTTTAAATCAGGAGTGGTGAAAAATGTACCTTTTTTAAATGGGTGATATCACTGTGTGATAAACACAGCTTTATTGTTTGGTTTAAATATGACAAAGAGCAACATGACGTGCAATTACTGTATGTTCTCTGACACCACATACAGGACACAGGAAGGAAGGAGGGAAGGACAACTAAATGTTTGTGTGACAGCCAATTAGAATACGATGCTCAGAACCCACAGGAAAAGATTCGAGCACAGAACACTTTCAGGTGCTGCTCCTGCTCGTTAACTGACCGACAGAAAAACGCTCCGATTACACTGAAACATCAGTTCCTCTCTGACTCAGACTCTTATCAGCCAATGTGTTGTGAAAACACTCAGTTTCACTCAAAACTTCTACACGCACACTCGGTGACATCAGGGAGAGCCAGTTGTAGCCCCGCCTCCTCCCAGCCTTTGCTGAGCGAGGCATTTCCTAACAGCGGGAGTTTCCTCTGTGATGAGTCAGCAGTGGGGGGGTTTCTGCTCACACTGAGTCACCTCTCAGGGCTTTCGTGGCACCTCACATTAATGTATGAGGAAATATGAGAACACACACCCCGAGCCTCTACCGCAGCGTCACACCTTATTGATCCTGCATATAAGCGATCAGCTGCAGGAAACTTCTGAGTGACTAAAACCTCCTCTTCATTTCATCTAACCAGAAAACGGCTGACTGACAGGAAAACAAAAACTACACTGCTGTTTGTTCTCAGGAAGCTCATCTGATCTAAACCCTTCAAAAATCTTTCAGAAGAACAAATTTATTCCATCATCCACAGGCATTTTAATTCAGCTCCAAATTACTGCAGAAAATGCAAATGGTCAAAGGTCAGAGCTGAGAGGTGCCTGGATTTTCAGAGGCGCTGAACAGAGAAGTTTGTCAAAGCGACCACAGGCAAACTTAGGGGAAACACGTCACATGACCACACAGCAACGCCACAACACACACACAAACACACGACTGCAAGCGGCTTCACTGATCAGCAGCTTTGTCATGGTCTCATGTTATTGATTTGGAATTTATCAATGGTGGTGATTAGAACAGACTGATTAACTGGGGTATTACACCTAGTGAGTGATTTCAGACTGAGGGGGTGAGGCTTGAAACACTGGCTCATTCTCAGCACCTTAATCAATAAACTGATCAGCTGGGTATACTGTCTTTCAGCCACACCCGCCCATCATGAAGAAGCAGCTGTTACCCCAAAAGAGTTTGTTTCACACCTATAGGCTTCTTCCAGTTACTTCCTTTCACAATAAAAGTCCTTGTTTTATGTACTGCTGATTGGCAGATTTCATGATGTAACAAAAAACAAGGTTTCTTAAAGAAAAAATACTGTGAATCATTCATTCATTAAATGTTGGAAACAAGTTATTTTAAAAAATCTTACTAAAAAGAGTTGGACTTAACTGCGTTTTTGGTGTTAAACACCAATTAAAATAATGTTTGCAGGGATCTAATGAACATGTCAGGGAGTGATGCAGTCCCTGGCTAACTATGCTTATAAAAACGTGTGGAATGACACTGGTGGATGAATAAAGACTCTTCAGTATCAGTGCTGTTGTCTCTTGTTTGGACCCTCCAGCTGCTTATGTTGATTTTTATGAAACCTGTGGGTGTGCTCACTCACCAGGGTGCTGCTCCTGCTCTGCTCGCCCGTCGTCACCCCGCTCTCCCCGTGCTCCCCGCCGGTTCCTCCTCCGCCTCCGCCTCCCGGCGCTCTCTGCCCGGCCTGGTCGCCGCTGGGCTGGTGCTGCCGGTGCTTGTTGGACCGCTTGGCTTTGGACTGCAGGCAGCGCTGGTGCAGGGCGTAGGTCTGTTGCCGGTCCATCTCCTGCCGCTCCATCATCGCGGCCAAGTAGCGCTCCTCGCAGTTGTTGTGATGCTGCCGGAACTGCTCGATCCTCCGGCGGAGCCGCTCCATCACCTCGCTGCGTCGCGGTGTAACAAAATCCGCCATCATCAATAAAGCCTTGCAGTAAACTCCCGGCTCAGGTTTCGTCCATATATTGCTGAATCTGGCGTCTACACCCCCCCTCACCCTTTACAAAGACTCCGGTGCTGGCTCCATGGAGGCGGCCTTTGTGCTGCTAACGGCCTTCAGTCACACTCACTGCCGGAGAGGAGAGGTCAGGTTTTTGGGGGCAGCACCATCCAGCCTCCTCATCTACCTGGTCTTGTGTACAACAGCTCGTTTAATTAGCTGTGTAAAGCTACCGGAGTCCTGCTAGAGCCTATCTGGTCCTCCCTTTACTCCCCGAGCTGCCCCTGCCCTTTGCTCCTGATCATTTATACCCCAGTCTGAGAGACAGGGTGCTGCCTTCAAACTCACTCCCGCTGGGCTAACTTCGGCTAGCGCATTCCTCCACTCTAAATCAAAGCAGGAGCCTAAAAACCTCCCACCCCCACCCCCAGAAAATGAGTTAAGCGAAACCTGGTCTGGAGCTAGCCTCCGTCTCCTCGTCCACCTGCCCGTTACCGGCGGTGCTCCGCTCCCGACAGCCTCCTAACGGCTCCACAACTCCCCTCAAACTTTATTCTCCTCGGCTGATGGAGGTTAGCTCGGGTAGCATGGGATTAGCTGGCTGGCTAACAACTTGTCAGCTAATGGAAATAAAACTTCACGCGCTTGAAAACAAACTGCCAGACTTTCAGGACATCTGAAGCACAGTTAGAGTTAAAGTCACTTACTGTGAGAGTGCTGCTGTCCGCTCTCCTACAGCATCTGTCCCAGCATCTGTCCTCCGAACAGCTGATCCTCCCGCTAGCCGTTAGCCGCTAGCTATTAACGCTGTTTGGGGTTCGGCTAGCTAGCAAGATAGCTAGCCTGAAACGTTTAAATGAACCATCATACTTTAAAACTATCTCCCCAGAGTTACACCCAAGGATAATCTTTCCCTCGGCTGAGCCCACGTCCGAGATGAACTATTTGGGAGCGAATTCCTGGGAAACAGTGGGATAAGAGTCCCTCTGCGCCTCTTCTATTGTTTTCCAACGAACAAGTTACACCGCCGCCATCTTGAAAACTTTCTCTTTTCCCCTCCTTCATCTGTGTTACAGGAATGTCCCCGCCTTTTCCGGTGACGGACAGTAGAAACAGCCAATCAGAGGATGAGACCGAGTGTCTCTTGCGTTTAAATCAATGACTGTAGAACAATACATAACAAACACACGCGCACAGAGTGTACGATCGGTAAATCTGTTCAAGGGAGGGTTAGTGGGTTATTGTACCACAAAAAATACAAAAACAAAAAGAAACCCAAAACAAATAAACTCAAATAAATTCACTTTTTAAATATTAATTTAATTTAACATGAATAGAATTTTTTTTAATTATGAAAACCGCTGTCAGCTAATTTTACTGGCAGCAGGTTAAACACTCATCAGCAGTTTGACCGCCACAATAAAGATTATTTGGGGTCATTAGCGGCCCCTGAAGGACACTAATGGGGCCAGGATTCCTGCCTCGCCCCTCAGAAAAAAATTATTAATTAACTAATAAATCATAGATTAGGAAAAATACAAAAATAAATACATTAATTAATACTATGCAAGAGTTACATAGAAAATAACATAGAAAAAGAAACCAAAAATAGAAAAAAGCAAGGGTGGACATACAAAAATACATTAAACTATAGAAAGAATAATATAGAAAACAAAAACCTCTACAGAAATTGAATGCTTGTTTGCTTTTATTTTAAGTAAATTTAATAATTAATCTCTGGGCTCACTACTAGCAGGTGGCGACACACGCCATAGGGTTGGAGTGCTATGTGAGTTGGGTAAGGATATGTGCAGTGGCCCTGGTGGTCCAATTCCTGGCTACTGAAACTTGTTCCTGGGACCTAGTTGCCTCTCTGGTGGGGAAGGAGTAGATATACCCCTGGAATCTGTTTCCTGACGAGCAGTTGTGTTCTAGTCTGGAGTTGCCCTCGTGAGAGATGGCACGCAGGGGTAAGTATACTTGTAGAGGGTGTCTGGTTCAGTGGTCATAGGATCTAATCTCTGCTTTTTTGCACATGATGTGATTCTATCAGCTTCATGAAGTGGTGTCCCCCAGCTTGCAGCCGTGGAAACGAGAATTAGCGTTATTCCAGAGTAGCTTTGTATGATTTACGGTTCATAATAATCCTTCATCTCATACCAGGACAGCCCTGCAGTTCAGCCTCAGTCTGACACAAACTGACTTTATGATTGGCTGCTTTAAGAGAAGACAAATGTTAGATTTATAAGAAAAAACGGGGCTATGTTTACATGAAAAAAAGTGGGGAAAAAAGTTAATTTGAGGGAAAAAAGTTAATTTCAAAAAGGTAAAAATACTGTTAGAGATGGTATGTTTATTTATGAGCTAAAATAAGAAAAGCACAATAGTAAATAACCACGCTGCTGCCTCTGCTTCTGTTTCCATTTGATGTTTTTATTAATCAAATTGAGTGTTGACCACGTGTCCGCACACACATAAACACAGAGCAGGCTCCATCATCACAGTATTTCCATTGAAAGCTGGAGCTTCCTGTCAGCAGGTCCACTCAGCGTGGACGTGGGGACGACGGCCGGGCCAACCATTAGTACAAACACAGAACAAAATAAAAAGCAGAGTTACAGAGGCAGAGTCTCCCCCGCAGGTACAGTGTTCAGTCTACAGTCTGTTAGCGAGGCAGCTTCAACAACGCCATGAACAACGCCATCGTGCCTAAACAACAGCATCTTCACGGCCACTACAAGCAGCAGAGCCAGCAAAATCATCCTACGAGGAAGAGGAGATGGTCACCTGACACAAACTTTCAACACTTGCCATAAACCACCAGGCAATCACAAGCAGCCTGTCCCGACTGAAAAAAGGATCTGGCTCAGGATACACACTGGAATCATTTTCCACCTGCTGATCGCTTCAGTTTCACCTCAGACGGGAAAAAAAAACAAAAGAAAAAAAAAGGTCCTGCAGGAAGATTAGCACATAAACAGGTGATCAAGGGTTTGAGAGCATCAATAAGTTTCACAGATATTTGAAATCATTGTTACCTGCCAGGCACTTTTATTTTGGCAGTGGAAAAGAAAATATCAGAAGAGTGAAAGTTAAAGTCTGTAAAATTCAGATTTGACTGAATGAACAATAACGATTTATAATCGGAATAGTCAAAAATTACAGCAAATGATTTGATTTGAAGTATTATTAGTGAGAAAATAAATCCGGCTCGTTCTGTGATTCCCATTGATCCACCCAAACTCTGATAATCACACAAACCAAAGATGGAGTTTCTCCTTCTTTATTAAGTTTGATTCTCCACCGACAGCATTACCTCTGACACCTGCTTCATATAAGATGACTTCAGGCTCAAAAGAGAATCAAGGTAGAAAATGAAAGACAACTTTTAAATTTATTGATTTTTGTGGCCCACCAGAGGGCTGCAGACGGGACACTGTAACAGCGCGTTACACAACCAGTCAGAGTTTATATGCTGATCTCTGGTTTTACCAGTTTAAGAACGATGGTTGTTTTTTGGTAAGTTATCACAGACAGATGAAAAATAAGTCTCACTCTATGAATAAATAACTTTTTTGCGCTACACGGAAGGACTTAAAACTGTTGGTTGGACGGACACCAGGCATTTTCCCAGCCTGATGCTGAGGTCACGTGATTATCTTCCAGGGGTATTGGTTCTGAATTTGGCCCCACCTGTGGTCACACATGGCAACTGCTTCAGCTCACAGGTCCACTTACTCACACCACCTGAGCTTTGAGCCACGCCTATGCTCCACACCCTGAAAACGACCACCAGGCGGGTTGACTCTACAGATGGACAGCTGAGATGTTAAGCACCTCATTGCGGTAGTGTTTTTGTGTTGTTCAAATGTTCAGAGAGCGCCGCTGTTATAACAAAAAACAACAACAAACAAAACAAAACAACTTAATTTTAAAGAGTTTTTGTGTGTGTATGAGCTGAACCTTCATTCACACAACTATCATACCCGAGATCAGCAGACTGTTGCACGTACGTGACCTTTGACCTTTTTTAAAAATTAGACGACCTAACATATGCTAACATTTACATAAGAAAAACAAAGACGAAAAATGGAAGAAAAGGTGTTACCAGTTTATTATTTCAGACGTTAGCATGACTGATAGCTAATCAACGAACTCCACAAGCTGTTAGCAGCTAGCTGCTGTAAGCATTGGTGGGCTGACTGTTATAGCGCCACACAGCTCACTAGCTTTACTAGCACCTAGCTAACACCAGGTTTAAGGAGGGTGAAGAAACAGCCTAGTAGTTTCTGGATAACATCCCCAGCTCGACCGATTAGCCAGCAGGAAACTGTGGTTGTTAGTAGGATAACCACCAACAGGCTGATTTACTGTAATAAACAAGCTGTTAGCTTATAGGTTTGCTAACACAGGTACGGTTGCTAAGTTTGTTGTAGCATTCATTAGCAGCCTGGTGGATCAAATTTAAAAACAAAACAAAACCCGAACAATGATGGCAAGCTGATCCCAAAGCTAATTAGCAGCATGTTGGTAAGCTAATTGGGCTTTTTCGATGCTTACTCACTGACTGTTGGTAACGGTTAGTCTAGCTAGCAAGTTACATTGTGTTAGCTAGATGACGACATATTAGATTAGCCAACTGTTTATAAGCTCTTTAAAGAATGAGGAAGACTTCCGGTTGGTCAAAAGATTTTAAAGTCATCCTGACTGTTGGTGTCGGGTCAGCAGGTGTTTTCACCCAGACTGCGACAACACAAGGCAGCAGGATCACGGCGGCTCAAGCAGGATGATGCTGGGCTAAGCCCCTCCAGGGACCGATTTAGAGTGTTCTCATTGGCTGTTTAACACCCTGGTTACCTGGAGACTGTTTGACCTGACTTATGTTTTGGCTGCTGGAAGGCTAGAGACTGCTGGAAGCTCAACAAAAACAGCCTCAAGCGGGCTCTCTGAGGGTGGCAATGGCGGTGGACAGGATGTTGGTCCTGCAGGTTCGAGTGTTCAGGTGTTGTGAAGGAATGACGCAGCAAGTTTTAGTAAATCTCTTTGAAAAACAAAAATCCTTTGAATCTAACTCTGTGCTGTTCATACACATAATCATTATTATCATCATTATCATCAGGTGTCCATGTTGGAGGTCTTGATTAGTTTCCCGTTGCTGCTTCCACTGGTTCCATTCAGGCCTCATCGCCTCAGAGTGGACGGGAAGAAGAATGAGGAGGAGGAGGAGGAAGGGGAGAGGGAGGAGGGATGAAGGGGGTGAGCTGTTGAGGTCAGGGCTGCAGTCAGATTTCACTCCTTCCTGGGCTTCCTGCTCCTCGGGGATCTCCGCAGAACATCGTCCTCGAGCTTCTGCAGTGGAAACGAAGGCGAGATGAGTCAGTTTAAGTCAGAGAGGAAGCTCGATGTTACTCGCTCAAATCAAATCATGTGAAACAGACTGCACAGCCTCAGACGGAAAATTCAATTCAGTTTTATTCATACAGCGCCAAATCACAACAACTGTCACTTCAAGGCATTTTATACTGTAAAAACCCTACAACAGGGGTGTCAAACATACGGCCTGTGGGCCACAGTCCTACGCAATGCGCAGCTTTGGAAAAATGAGGAGGGTTTTAAATGTTTTGCAGCTTCACCTACTGATAAAGACCTCTCTCCACCCCCCATGACCATTCATACTACAGCAAAATAATTACGTAATAGATGAAAAGCGGTGTTAACAATCTACTGTAGAAAATTCAGGGTTTTTTCTTCAAAATCTACAGGTTAAAAAAAATAGTATTTTCTGTTAACAAGAACCCCTTTTCTTTAATTTTACACACTATTTAAAATGTAAATAATTTATTTACTACAGCAGCACCTGTTAATCATGTAGAAAAACTAAGAAATACTCATCAAATTGCTCCTCTTTTTCTAATATTCTGATATCTGACGGATTAAATGTGTAGTTCTTTATAATAACACAAAGGGAGGTTTCACCGGTTTGTCCCGACAACAATATATATCACAAAATTTTTACATTTTCTGTAAATATCGGGCAAATCAACTTGTGCGTAAAATGTTTTCAGCTGGGCGTCGTGTACCTGGAGTTGAGTGTTTTGACCAATGCATGAAGCTATAAATTCTTTTTGACATAAGTTGTAACGGCCGCCATTTTCTTTGTTTTTATTTGACGGCGTGCTGCGGGTAAAGCCTGTTCTAACGTTTGAGTCTAAGGTTTATTTTGTGCACCTGACGGCTCTTTTTTGCTTCTCACCCGTAAACTCTCTCCACACTCTGTTACATGATTCTTGTGTAGGTGGTAGAAGAGGTTTGTTGTGTTTGAGTCTGTGGTGGGGACTGGTTTGCAGCATAATTTGCATTATACGGTTTTCTGGTCTGTGTCAGACTTTTCATAACCAAACCATGTCCATGCTACAGAGGTAGCCCCTCGTTTAGGAATAAGGTCCTGGATTTGCTTTGACTGGTCTTTCTGTTTGTCATCATTTAGGTTTATTTGGAAAAATCTCAACAGGATATTGAGCTTTATTTTCCACAAACATTTCACAATAAACAAGCGAACAGTGGAGCCACACGCTGGGTTTATCGTCATTGTTGCTAACGACAACATGTAAAAACAGTTGCTTGTCCGTCCGTAGTGTGGTTATTTTAAATATAAGAGAAAGAGAACTTTATGAAATTAATATAGCCAATACAGTGACCCTCAAAACCATGAAACAAATATTGCAGTAAACAGTTTATTTTGCCACACCATGAAACAAACGATAGTGTAATATGAAACGAGACATTTTCATATCGTCATCCGATATATATCATTATATCGGACAGCCCTACGTCAAAGTGGGTTGTATGGAGTCCACAATGTAAAACGCGTCTGACATCCTTGCCCTATGACTATGCAGAGCAAAGCCAAAAATCAGAGGACCCCATCTGAGCAAGCACTTGGTGGCAGTAGGAAGGAAAAACTCCCTTTTAATAGGAAGACACGTCAGGCAGAACCAGACTCTGTGAGGGGTAGCCATCTGCTGAGACTGGTCGGGGGTTTGAACTCTCCTGGAAAGCAGCAGATGTTACACCTGCAGCACATTTACAGCACGCTGCAGACTGAGCTCATCCCACATTTTTACTGAATTGAGGCTTTTTCAAGTTTTCTACATTTTATGTCTCAGACTCCTTCAAAACAAATCTGAGAAAATAAAATGAAATTAAAGTTTATCTTTGCAACAAGCTTTAACGACCGGTGCGAAGACATTTAGAAAAACACAAAAACCTTATTTTCTTTGTAAAATATAAATGACTAAAAATACAAAATGAACTTTCATTTATTTATTAATTTTTACATCTTTTCAAAAGTTAAAGGAGCTGAAAAGTCACAATTGAATCTGCTGTGATGAAACTTTGCCTCACCTCATCAGCTGTGTTCTCTTTTTCTTCATCCTCCTCTTCCTCTGCAGGTTCTTCATCTTCACTCTTTTCTGTGTCTGAAAAGCAAAGATGAATCAGATTAAGAAACAGCTGCAAACTCAAAAGAAACAAACAGATTCAATTTGAAGATCTCAGTAACCTAGGCTGCTCTTCTCAGCCTTCGGAGCCTCCTCGGCTTCCTCCTCCTCTTCCTCCTCCTCCTTCACATCAGGCTGAGGTTCGTCGGTCTTCTTGTACTCTGCCGGCGACACCGAACTCTTCTTCTGCAGAAGGAAACAAGTCAGTTCAAAGCGCTCCTGTGGTGGATGCTCATACTAAACAAAGTTTGTAATAATGAATTCACTGTATTTAAAATAATGCCCTGAGCTCAGTTTATCAGTTTTTCCTACTCTTGGATCTTTATGATGTCATACAGACAGTATATCCCAGATATGGTCACCTGAGAGGTTTGTGAGGGGCAGCCAATTAGAAGAACGAGTGAGGTTTGCCAAATTTACATTACTTGTGGTGGTTTGCTAGTGATAGTTTTAAAATAGCATTATCTAAACTCTTGGGTAACATGCTGATCCTGGACCAGCGCTACAATGACGCAGGAACAGCAACACGATGATTTCAGGTTCCCTCAGCTGAGGATCTAAGACTGATACAAATACATAAAGGCACCGTCACATTTATGAATGGACTGTTTTACTTTTGCAGTCAAGTCACACTGCAGTTCACACCCGCAACAGTAATTTACTGTTATTACCAAACTGCCTTCTCCATGAACAAGCCACCATGCCACAGTGGAAACAGCTGAGACGGCCAGATATGTGACATGTTCATAGGAAACAGTATTTATAGGCCAAAGTACTGGGCCACATCTCTTAACCTTTGAACTCAAGCGTTTTCAGTCCTAGTCCTGCAGCACCTAGCCAGGCAGTCCAAACCTCCTCTGGCATTAACATCAGCACAGACAGTGTGTTGCCGGGAGCTTCGGTTTCCACGGCTGAGCAGCTGCTGCAGGTGTGACGTGAAGGTGGCCCGGGACTTTGGTCCATGTAGAGCGAGTTAAACAGCAGCACCGCCTTCTCAGATCCATCATTCACAAACACATCACTGCCTTTCACTCACGGTTTTCGCCTACGTTTGATAAAGAGCGCCCTTTCAGACGAGCATTTTCAGAATGTGTTGGCCAATAGGAGAACAGAGTTGTGCCACCAGCAGGTCTGCTACAAAGGATTTCACCTGATTTTCCAATATTCAGAACACCAACAAACCAGTCATGAATTCTCAGTTATAATCAGTGTCACAATTACAACCAATGAGTGACAAGGTTTAATGAAACATACAAAGACTGCACTGCAGCACCACAGACGCACACAAGCAGCACAAACACAACAACATGACGTGAAGCTATGCTAGCAGCAGTATCAGTCACCGGGCCGGAGGAGGTGGTGGCAGCGTGGTTAGGGCGTCCAGCATCATTAAACTCTTTCTGCAAGCTGGTGAGACTCAAGTGACCCTGAGCTGATCCTGACGACCTCTGTGGACATTAATCAGTGCGATACAACTTAAACCATTAAATGAAACCTCTGGAATAACAATGTGTGGTTTTGACAGCAGGCATGACAGGATGCCCTGAGGATCAGACTGCAGGACGGACAGGTTTGATTTTCTCATGTCCAATTAAAACCTTAAAACAATTATCAATAACAGTTAAAAATGCAGCTTGAATTATAACAACAGTTTATATTGATTCATTTCCACCAATCACAGGAGTCCACCTGTGAGGAAATCCTCCACGACAGCATTACACCGAGCTGCTCTCTTATTCCTGACAGGGTCACCACAGCAGATTGATCTGTGTGGTTGATTTGGCACAGACTTCCATTGATCCGGGCCTGAGAACGGCACCAGGAGTATGCACGCTTGTGCCCCACAAGGCTGGGTTTGCACCATCGAACTGTGGCTCTTTGAACTGCTGATTTTAACTTGTAAATATTAAGTTTCATATTTTCACTACAGAAAGTTTGACAGTTAATAGGAGCTTCTCAGCTGACTGGGGCATAAACATAAAGTCATGCATTGTTACTACCAGCAGAATGTAAATGAATGAGTAACACAGGAACACTCAGTGGGGGAAAATGTCAAACTCTCCGTGCTCTGAAGAGGCAACAGCTTCACTTTTACTTCAAACTTCAATCAAGACAGAAACTCGACTTTCAAATGAGGAAACTTCAGTTTGATGCTGCAGAGGCGCAGAGGCGCAGACCCTGTGTGTGTGTGTGTGTGTGTGTGTGTGTGTGTGTGTGTGTGTTTTACCTTTCCAGTGCAGCAGAAGACGAAGATAAGTATGAGCGGCAGAGCTACGGTGAGCACGTAGACGACCCAGAGCCACGGACGCTCCTCTGCAGCGCTTAGCATCTGAGCTGCCAGCCCAGGCTGCACGACCACAAAGGGGGGGGGAGATAAACAAAACAAAAACCACACATGAGGAAACATCACGGGGCTCTCGTTAACCCAGACTTCAATAAATCCACTTCACACATTTTTTTAAATGATCAGTAACGATATCAGAGTTGAACACCAAATCTCTCCCAGTCATGCTAATAAGTATGAAACGCATGTCTATTAAAGGATATCCACTAGCTCGGAGACATTTAGAGGGATCCTTTTATTTTTGATGATTTTGGCTAAGAGCTCATGAAACTCAGTAATCCGGTTTCTCAAATGATCAGAATATTTCCTAAAATGAATCAAATCTCTTCATGAGCCATAATCATCTAATTAACACAAAAACAAACTTGATACATTTCACTTCATACTGAAGAATATATTCAAGTTAACCTTTCGGAATAAAATTATGGGAAAAGGATTTTGTCCTTAATATTCAATTGTTTTGTGAAACATTATTAAGGAAACGTAATTTTCTTTCATTTCTGTTGCGCAAAAATAAAATTTTAACGTGTTTGATGCTCCACCGTGAAGCTGCGCTGAGGTGTGTGAGGTCACCCTGAGCATTTGAAACATGAGGCGGTGACTGTGTTACTTCACTTTTTAAACTTTAATCATGGCACACACTTGATTAAAAAAAAAGGAAAAGGAAAAAAAAAACAACAACTCCCAAAACAAATACAGGTCCGATTTATCCCAGAAGACTGAATTTAATCTGATCTAATAACATGGACCCACCTCAGCGGCGCCCTCTGCTGCCTTCTTCAGCCCCCAGCTATCAGAGGCCCAGCGTTCTGCAGCGTTGCGATCATTGGTGATGAAGAAGTTGTCAAAGAAGATGTCAGGGGTCATGGACCAGAGTTCAAGCCCCAGGGCGCTGAACGGTGACATCTTGTAGGGGTGAAGGTCCTCAAAGTACGCCGGGTTGGGGATCTTCCTCGGCTTCCAGACGCCCTGAAAACACGAAGGGTTGGAGGTGAGGAGAGCCTCCAAAAGACTCCACCCCCTCCATCTAATGATCACCTCACACTGAAGTCAGACTCACCTGATAGTTGGGGTTATCAATCATGGGGGGCTTCCATTTGCCCTTGTAGTTGGGGTTGTCGATCATTGGCCGTTTCCAGGTGCCGCAGCCGGGGGCGGTCTCACAGGCGGGGTTAGGGATCTGAGGGGCCTCCCACTCTCCGTCCATGTCCTCATCCCTGACAGGCACGAAGAGTACTCTGTTATCTTCTTTATACTGGAATACAGGTTTTACTGGGACTATTTTCAGCAGTGGATTAATCCACGGGCTTTGTAAGGAAAGCGGTTCACAGTGAAAAGAAAATCTGTACTTTGCTTTAGACATTTCTTTCCTTCCACCTGCTCTGGGCTGACAGGCAGGTGTAACTCACCAGTCTTCAGGTTTGATGGCGTCAGGGTCTCCGATATACTCGGGCTCATCGTCCAGCCAGCCGTCGGGTTTCACTGCAGATTCATCTGGAATCTGAGCCGGAGCGTCTTCATCCCTGCAAACACACAACAACCCAAGTCTGCTGTCACAGAGTGGCAAACATGGAAGCACCAAACCTGCAGTTCCTCTAACATCCAGTAGAGGCTCCAGCAGTGAGTCAGTCCCAATGACAGGTGGATTGTGACACAGGAGGTCGTAGCTGCTAGCTGTCTCCTAGGGTTCCCCTCAGCTAATTGGAGTCTCTGAACTGGACCTCTGCACAGTTTTTGTGCCTTTGGAGCATTTTTAATGACATCATCTGACCAATAATATAGCTGCTGTGAGGTCACTGTACTTAAAGGGAAACATGAAGTAAGCCTTTGATTTCTAAATAGACATGGATTGTGTTTTTAATACATTCTGAATCTCTTACTTTAGTGTACATTAAGAAGCAGCACAATCTCCAGATTTTTATTTATTTATTTACACTTATGGAGGGTTTACTTTATTTTCCCTCATTTAAATAAATTGTAAATAAATAATTATTTTTTCCCCTTTTTAAAACTTACTTAAAATGTTAATATCTTCAATTCAGGAAAAGTAAACAATCTCAGAAATAACTGAGCAACATAATCAGCTGTGTCTCTCTGCCATCTTCAGCCGGTATTCCTCGTTCTGAACCAGATCGGACTGTCCACTTATAAATCGAGACTGACCCCGTGACGCTTTTACTGCAAACATGTTTACTTCAGTTCCAGTCGTGCAGCCGTGGCTCAGTTTGTTTTCTTTAGGTCAAACGCTTGGATGAAAGTTTGAGCAAACTAAAAATGAAACCCTTGTACTGACCAGTCCTCGGGTTTGACGGAGTCCGGGTCCTGGATCTTGGGCCTCTCATCCCAGTCCTCAGGTTTGTGGTCATCAGGGTCCTCGATCTCAGCGGGGGGGTTCACAGCAGGGGTCATGTCCGTCAGCAGGTTGCCGCTGTTCACGACCGTCTGATCCACCAACACCTCAAAGCTGTTGTCAGAGTTCACCACTGTTGGGGGCAACAGAGACGAGTTAGGCACTCAAAGAAAAAAATAATAATCAAAGTCTGCAGTTCCTCTAACGTCCAGCAGAGGCCAGGGTCCACAGACTCCCTTGTTAACATAGAAACAGCAGAAATAAACACGTTCGCAGCCTGTGCGTCTCACCCAGCGTGTACAGGTGAGTCTTCTTGTCGGTAAAGTATGTCCTCAGGTCGGCGTCGGGTTTCTTAGCGTGTTTCTCTTCGTACTCTCCGGTTTTGGGGTTTTTGTGCCTGAAGATGAAGTGCAGCTTGTAGTCTTCTCCACATTTGTCGGGTCCAAACATGATGGTGTACGGAGTTTTATCCACAAACTGGTCCTGCAGACACACACGGACATGTTACAGCGCTTACCTGCCTTGTAGCCTGCAGATGTTTTTATCAATCACTTATTTGAGTGATCAATAACAACATTTCATAGACATATCATAGATTTGCCTCATGACAGGAAGATGAGTTAGTGAGTTAGATCACGAGTCGAACAACATTTAAAACCTTTTTAAGTCACTGTCCTGCTTTTCTTTTTGAAGCGGCATCATTAATAAACTGAATTCACGTGTGTGGGAATCGCACTGACCAGGTCGAGGTCGGGCGTCTCAGTCAGCAGCTTTACGTAGGCGCCACCGCAGTCGATACCCGACTGGAAGTTCACCTCATACCTGAACACAGACAGATCACACTGCTGATCAGTAACTTTCAGACTGAGAACACCTGGGTGTGAACACCCATCTACCAATCAGAGTTTCAAATGTGAATCAGACATCAAAGCTGTCCTTACTGGATGACAAGGGGCATGCTTTCAAAGGTGAAAGGTCGCAGCAGGTGGGCTGAGATGGCATGATGTTTGGCTCGAGACTTCAGGACCAGACCTTTGTCGCCAGGCAGCTTACTGTCTTTCATCTCCTCCACAGCCCATTTACCTGTTAACATCGTCATCATCATCATCACAGACAAACACTAAAACAAGGCGGTAATCTTCGGTACAGTGGCCTTTTTAGGACATCCCAGGCTCAGCTGATGTAAAAAACTGCTCATGCACGTCATCATGTACACAATGAGGTTACAGATCTTCACTCACCGTCGTACTTCGCGATCTCTTCGTCTGCATCATCCTTCTTGGCGTTGGACAGAATCCACCTGAAACAGCACACAGAGGGTTACGACTCGCCGCAGCTCTGAGGTTTACAGGTAGATGTACACGTGTGCACCGACTCCTCGGCAGCATTTTTCACAGATCAAACACCGAGGCTTTTCTTTGATAAAACTGATGATCAAATTAAACCATATGACTGTTTCACTAATCGATTGTCTTGATAACTGCTGGGAGAATAACTTCAGCTAATTGTTCCAAACTCTGGGCTGATCTGATAGGTTTAAATCAGCTAATGTTACAAACAAACCATCACTAGGTTACAGCAAGCTGGCTCTGCGCCAGTGAGGGCCTGTCCTTAAATCCTTAGCTGACCAGTTGGCATGCATTAGTGCGATGCTAGCACGTGTAATAAGCTTTAAAGTAAGAAAAATAAAACATGTAAGTGAAGGTTATGATTCATGCGTGTGTGGTGCTCACCCATCCAGTGTCCCCTTATCAAAAGACTCTGCAATGAAGTGTTCCCCCTTCGGCTCAGGAGCTTTGTAGGTCACCTGAGTGAAGAAATTAAAGTAAGTTATAACATCCTCATGTGCAGGTTAACCAACACATTTGTTTGGTTCGTCCTCCTCTTCCTATCTCAGATTGAGCTCAAAGCCTTTGAGGTGTGTTCTCTTTACCTCAGCTCCACTCTGAATAACCAGTCAGACTGGAAGTGAAGCAAACATGATCAAAACTGTGGAAATAATTCACGAGCAGGTTTCTGTCTAAAACCTGCCGACTCCAGGAAAATTCACCCGTAAAATCATTAGACTGAATTATTCTGAGGTCCGACTCTTAGTCCGGTCTGTGTCTGTAGAGAGAATGCAGGTCAGTAGATCAGCAGGGCAGATCACTACTCTCTCATCAGACCCACTTCCTGACCTGATTGGTTAATGGGTAAATGACACTTCTGGGTTAAACATTCAAAACCTCAGAATGAGCCAAAACAAACGCTGAGAGCAGAGCAGTTATAATCCTCACAGGTAAAAACTTCAATAGAGTTAACTTTATTCATACAACCAAAAACTTAGACAAACAATTTTAACAGCTTTCAGAAAAACAAGAAACAAGTAACCTTTTTAAAAACCTTTTTAACACGTCGGTAAATAAAAATGAAGACGTCACTGATGCATCATATGCAGCCTTTTATAAACCAGTCATCAGTGATGGTCAGGTTTACATCCAGGAGCTCAGTCGTGGTGTGCTGCTCTCTCATGTGCCATTTTTATTTTTGTTAATGACCTTGTCTCAGATGTTCTCTTGGCTGAAGTTTGATCCCTTTTCATCTGCCCATCAGGTATTCTCAACATTAACTTTTACTGAGAACAGTTTAACCTTCTTCCTCCATCCTCCCTGTGCGGTTTAGTTTTCTGCATTTGTTTACTTCCAAAGTTATAGAACATTTGTACGTTTTAGTTTATTCCTTCAGTCAGCATGTGGGATATCACCTGTAAATGGAGAGCAGCTGATAACAAGCTGCCAACTCAGTTAAATCTTGTAATTCGTGTTTTTCATGGATGCTGGAAGTTAAACTTGATTGTAACAGCTGGGAGAACAGCCATGTTGATCATTTCACTGAGACTGAAAGAATCTGGACTATTTTGAAGGCTCAGTGGAGCCTCAGAATTTGACTTTAGGAACTGATGGAAAATCTGGACCTGGAGATGGTTTCTGGCTGATTTAGTTTGGTGGCCCCTAGTGTGCAGACACATGTAACTACAGCTTCTATTGTAAATAAACTTTAACGACTTTATATGAAACTAAAAAAAAAAAAGAAAAAAAAAAAGATTTTCTACCATCTGCAAATTTATCATTAACAAGAATTCAAGAAAAACACATATTTTTAATTAATAATAAAATAAAAATAAATAAAGCTGTCTTACCTGTGGACTGGGAGGGGTTTTAGGAGCAGGTGGAGCATCATCTTGCACGTCGTCCTCCAGATCCTCGTCCTCAGCCAAGCTCAGGTCCATTTCGTCCTCCACGTCGGCATCGTCGCCATCCAGACCGTCTTCGACCAGATCGTCAGCCCGAGAGACGGGGGCCAAACTGAGGCAGAGGAGGCCCGCCGCCAGGAGAACAAACAAACCGACCCGCTGATTCATAGTCTGCACTGAGAGGAGCAGAAAACCCGTCACACCTGGATAGCAAGCAGGGCCGGGCCAAAAACCAGTGATCTTAGTTATACAGAGATTTCTCTCATTTTATTGTTTTTATTTGAAATTTTATAAACAACAACAACAAAAATCCACACAGTCGCCCCATCATTAACAGACTGCCAACCTGTGTTTCATCCATCACCATGGTGACCAACCACAGAGCGCCCACAGGACGTGCTCCTCGGCTCCTTTTAACCCTAATGAGATTACACCCCGAGGGATTACACCAGCACCCCGGTACAAGCAGAAATGCACACGCACACTACCTTAGTTGTTTTACGGGTTATTTAACATGAGATGCTGTGTCAGTCATGACTGATGACTGACTTCCTGTCGTCTTTCAGTGCAGCAATGCCGTGATTACACAACTAACGTTAAGCTGCTGCGTTCAGTGACCATCAGAATAATCAGGCCCAAAAAGGTTCTGTGTTCCTGAATCACATCAAACAACAAAAAATAAGACTTTACAACATCAGCAGGTAAAAATCTGGCAAAAAGATTCGACACATCAGGGCTCAGCGACCCCAACTGCTACTTGGGTTTACAGTTGTTCTTACATTGATGCTTTCCACTAATGACAGTAAAAGAATTTTAGCCTGACAAGAAAGTGATAAAGATAATCAGGGACATCGCCACGTACACTGGAAAAAAGTAAAACCAATACTCGGAACGTCTGCTAAAATCACTGACGGCCGAGCTTGGTCTCCTAAAAGAAAAACTAAACAAGCTCACTGAAATCAGTCAGCAGAAGCTGTAGCCTGCCTTCTTAAAGCTACAAATATAATCACACTACATATACACTCTGTGTATACATACATACATACTCTGTAATTCAAATATTTGCAGAAGAAGAATGTGTGCGGACGCCCAAACAGAGAACCTAAATCTGGAGGAAACCAGGGAATGACGGATCTGGAGTTGATTTTGCATCTGATAGATATTAATGGAAGTGGTGCGGTGCAGTGCAGGTGCAGCCGCAGGCGGAGCAGTCTCAGGTAGTGATAAGACTGGTGATGTATTTAAATGAGAAAAAACTTTTAGACTGGCTGACTAATCTAAAGAGAAAGTTCTCCATCATTCATCATCCTCCATTAAATCAGAGGAGGATAAGATTCATGATGCAGATCACCACATGACAGGAAGTGCAAAACCTTCTGACCTCAAGTGTCTCTATTAATATTTATTCCAGCAGATTTGTCTCATCTGAGCTGGTTTTCCAACCATCATCCATCTATGCTGAGACATGAGCTGCTCTAAAAGGTAATCAAATTACCGATCAGTCCAATTGGTGCCAAGTAAAAACAAAACAATCTGGTCACATGACAGGAAGTGTATTAAGATTAAGAAAGGCAAGAAAAGTGGATCCTGAAGTTAAGTACATCTCACTCAGCAGACTGCCAGCTAATCAGATTAGCCTTTCAGCCAGATTAGCATACCTGCCAGCACTAGTCATTAGCTTAGCATCAAAGGCGTTTTGTGGGGTCTGAAGGAGCCCGAATTTTAAAACATTTCTGTCCTGAATTCTAGTCAGGTTAGTTTTGTTTCTGTGCACGGGAGGGTCATCTGCCAGGCTGTCGCTTAAATGTGTAAAATGGATATGCATACACCTTACTTTCCAAAATAAAAGGACAAAAATTTTACTTTAAGCCTTTCTTTCGGTTCCCTGCTGCACAAACAATGCTGAACTTCACTGATGAGCTCACAAACTCACACGGCAGTTTTCCAGCTGCCTGTGGGCAGTAATAAGCTCTTAGGTGGCCTCTGATTGGCTGATAAAACAGCAGCTTACAATCCTAATCAGCTGAGTGAAACCAGCTGAAGTGGCTGTTATCCACCCAGACTGAAGGCTCCAGTTGCCGTTAGTAACTTAATCTGATCTCAGAGCTGAAGGACATCTGCTGCTCCTCACACCAACCAATTTCTAATAATTCATCAATAATGCCACGAATTACAGAAATGTGTCAGCTTTTTCTACTTTTGGGTTTTTGTGATGTCATTAGATGGCGACATCTGCATTCAGTCATCTCAGTTGCACTGAGGCCCGGTGTCACATAAATAAGGAACTGTGAATCATGCAAAGCTGCTCTAACAGAACAAACGGTGGAGCTCAAGACTGCTGCACGTGTTCAGGTTGTGTACAGTTAAACAGCATGTGTCAGTTAAATCGTAACCAAACTGGATGGACTGGTTAGCATTTAGGCTGAACAATCAACCCGAAAAACTGAATAAATCAAGAACAAGCCCAACTCACTCAGTCTGTGGTCGTGACTTCAAAAAACAGTTTGAATTAACGTTATGATGCGTTTCGAAAACCAGAGAGCAGAAATAAGATTAAAATCCCAAATCCTGTTACTGCCGTGTCTGAATTTAAACGTGGTCAGGTTGTTTTGGCTCAATTTTTTTCTAATTTATGATTTTTTTTTCCCCCTGTGACACACTGCGCAGGGTGTAAACCACTGGGATAGGCAGAAGCCCCACTACGAAGTGGATATGCAGAAGAGAATGGAATTATTTATGTTCTGTTAAGGATCAATGATACGGTTTTTATTTGTCAGGTAATTTTATCAATTAAAGAGTCACTGCGTGTAAGCCCTCATATTCCCACCAAAGAGTGCCCCTGTAATCTAAGCGAGATGATCATATATTCCTTCAGTAAGCAAGCAAGCATATGCTACTTTTAAATGTGGGAACAGAAACCATCTCAACTTGTGCGCCTAACAGATCTTGGACCAGTTCGCTTTGTTCTTGCTAACTTGAGACAGACCAACTACTCAGACACTTCTTGTACCCTTTCATTTTTTCACAGTCTTGTTTAAAGAAAAAAAAATCTACAGAGAGCATCCAGCTGTGATGTCTTTGCAGCTGTCCTTACAGTGATGTTGATCTACAGGAAGTAAAAGTCAAAGATTTCTGCAGATTAACATGCCTATATCGCCACCTGCAGACATCCTGGAGTAAACGCTACGAGGGGCGGCCCTTTGAGCCAGACTTTACAATGAAAAACAGCTGCTAACTTATACCAGACAGCCCAGTGTTTCCCTTTTTAATATTAACATTCTGATCTTACTTTACATATACACCTGAAAAAAGCAGAGAAAAAAAATTATAGCTCGATAAGCATCAACTGTTTAGTTAATGAAGAAATGTCTTAAAACAATCCAGATGTTAATCCTGATCAATGTGATCGTGATCATTTCACGATCATGGAGCAATTCAACTTTAACATAAGACTTTGAGCTTTTCAGCATCACCGTTTTGGTGTTTTGAACCCAGGTGTGATCTGAGAGGGGTGGATATGACAGAGTGATCTGTCAATGATGAAGGAGAACCGCCCATAGCGCCCCCAACTTCCTAGGGTTCTTTCTGACCATAAAAAATATACTTTTGGCTACTCAGTTACCCCACAGGTAACGGGAAATGAACCAGCAACCTTTCGTTTGCAAACGTGTAAATGACACCAAACATCATGCTTAACTCAGTATCGTGTTAAACCAGCCTAAGAGCATTCATTCTGTGAGCTCTGGTTTTACTTTAAAATCAGAGTCGCCGCCCTCTACTGGTAATTCTAAGTCATACTGGTAAAAACCTGTGCTTACATACAGCCTAGGATCAGCTCATTTCCATCCACTTTTTCACCGTGATAGTCTGACAAGTTCGACCACAGTGGTCACTGAATCTGCAGTGTCTACCTGTAATGATGCTAACACACCTGTGACAGCGGACAGGTGAATGGAGGTCAGTCATGAAAGCGCGTAGCTTATGATTAACTTTTGTTTTGTTTTCATACACCCATTTTTTTTCTGCCAGCCTCCTGCAGGCTTTGCTACCCGGATCCTAAAGCGCGGTCTTCTCTGGACAGTTTAACAGCTGATCCTAAACCCTTCAAAGAGCCTAAAAAACACCGCCCACCTCCTCCAGATCCCTGCTTAGCCCAATATTAGCATAGCACCTTACGGAACACCCGACTTTGAATAAAGCAGTCGGACCAATTTTAGTTTCGCTGTGAGAAAAAACCCGACTGTAATGCATGTTAATCAAATCAGATCACCGGGACAAGACTCGGGTTTAAGGTGCGTTTATTAACCGCTAACGGAGGCCACGGCAGCGGGCTGACGGCTAGCTGGGTTCACCTGCGGTTAATTAGCTATCAGCCCGGTGCTAACTGCCCGCAGGAGCCACGGAGAGGAGATTTAACGGATAGAAACCGACAGCATGTAAATAACCACAGCCCGGGCGACATGAACGGAACACCACCTGTCAGAAAACAGTTGTATTCGGCTGAGCTACCCTTTAAAAATTCTCATTTATTGGCGTTTCCACTCACCTCAAGCTCACCCGTGCGCCGCCTGGGAACTACTGAGGAGGATCACGTGGTGTCCTGGAGGGCACTAACCGCCTTCCCCCGTCGCCGATTGGTTATCCAGCGCGTAACTTTGACGTTTCCTGTCAACTGTCAGGAGCTGATTGGTCAACAGAAACTCTCGCTCGACCCGCCCATATGGAGCTGCACCTCGTGGACAGCGATGATTGGCTGAGCTGCCAGGGGAAGTGTGCCCTCATTGGCTGTAGGCATGCTTATGAAAAGGCTTAAGAATTCGGGATGAGATTGAAACTGATTTTTGCAGATTTTGATTCATAAAATGATTTAATTCAGTTCTAACCAATAAAGACATGAAAACGGTCTTTATTTCGCACATTTGCTTTATTGGATAAAACATTCTGAATTTCCAAAGCTATTTATTTAATAACTCAGTTTAATTATGACTTTTTTTAAATTTATGCTAACTGTAACCTATTCATACAGTCTCTGGGGAACAGTTTTATTCAGAGCAGAAACAAAGAATTTATTGTAAAAAGTATTTATTACATGTATTTCTAATCTGACAGCACCTGAAATACACATTTGGTACATAAACATGAGATAAAAAAAACAAACAAAAAAGTTACCTTTACTTTAATGAGAAACAAAAATGAATTTTCAACTGTTTTTGTGCACACAGTAAACATGCACACTGGTCTGCACTAAAAGACTGTTTGATAAAGTCGGGGGGGGGAGCATGTGTGTGTTGTTTACCTGGGAAATCACAATTTAAATGTGTATGTGGTTTCTGTGTTTGAGGGTCCCTTGACCTGTGAAGTGGTGTTGTTGTTAGTGTGATCATCACTGAAACAACAGCCAATCAAGGCATGCTGACATAGTTGACATAGCTTTGATTAACAGTTGACAACTGAGCGGGCTCAGCTTCTTCTCTGATGCTAAAGCGAGACCTCCAGGCCTGAAAAATTAGTCCAGCTCTGAAGATCCTCTAACATCTACCTAAGCCTCCAGTAGTGAGTCAGCTAATTGGAGTGTCTGAACTGGACCCGTGGACTGTGTTTGTATTGTTTGAGCCTTTTAGAACATTTTTAATGCAATTATCTAATATGGCTGCTTTGTGGTAAATTGAATAAACAGACCATCCAACAGGTCTGAGCTCCAATATTGCTGAGTGAAACTCTAGGATTTTAAACTGGATGTTATTGTGCCCTAATTAGCAGCGACTGAATAAACATAAATCACATAAGACTGATTCTTTATAAAGCTTCTTTGGGCTGTTCCCTTATTCACCAGGGGTCGCCACAGCAAATAGATCGGCATGCTTGATTTTGTCAGGTTTTCAGATCAGATGACCTTCCAGCTGTCCCCAGAGATTTGGGTGACCTCCTGGACTTGAAAAGGGATCTTCTGTGTATTAGCTGAAGGTGTTAATCCCTACACTATGGAGCCACAGATAGTGATGCTTTATCATCGAAGAAAATGTTCTGATGCTTGACTCTGTGTCAGAGCAGAGCTCTAAGAATCATGTGATCTTCCTGCATGTGACCACCACACCACATGCTGCCATTACCCTTCTAAACCAAAACTCAGTTCTCTTCCAGAGCTGGTTGTTAAAGGTACCCATCCACCTGCTGAATTATTTGTGACTTTTAAAGTGATCGTAATTAAAAGAGTTAATTTTTTTCAGTCTTCAGCACTTCTTGTCACCTGACTTTTTTCAGATTGAGTTGGACATAAACACACTTTTAAATTCAAATCAATTCAATTTGATTTAGATTAGGCTCATCAAAAATTCAAAGCACATCATATTGTAAGGTAAAGACCTTACCTACAAGACTATAGACAAACATTCAGTTCTCCACCTGAAATGAAGATCACAGAGTCTGTGTGATGAAGCAGCTTCTGCAAAAACCAATGAGTAATGCTGCCATTTCATCATTTTTGTGATGAAACAAAGTTTCCAGAAAACTACTCACCTCCTCCACATCATCCACCTGACAACTCTGCAGCCAAATATGCGCATACCTCAAGTCCTTACTGACATTTGGAATAACCAGTGCAATTCATTAATTTCATTCATAGAATCATTTATAATTTACTGCAGTATTAAAATGTTCAAAAGTGACAAAAAACTCTATTTTCACTCTATTTTATGACAGAAGTGTAAAAGTAAATAAAGTAAGTAGAAAAAGATGCTTTTTAACACTTAACCTCATAACAGCACTCCTGTGTCATATGTATGTATGTGTGTTTTTTTGTCCTGTTGTAGTACAAATACAACGGTGCAGAGCAGAAATTTTCTGTTGGATAGTTTTGATGGAAACAGCTCTGCTAACGAAGTTACTCTTAATCCCATTTATCGATCAGTTCATTTAAGAGCAGAAGCACAGCATGATGATCCAGTTATCACCCTGACAGAAATTCACATTGATGATGATGACGAGGAGTTTGTGCTTCACATTCTGGTCTGTGAATCTGTGTTTCTTAACCTTTACAATAAATACTGGTGTACCACAAGGCTCAGTATAAGGACCTGTGTTTTTTACTGAATCTGCTCAGAATGCTGAGTTCCTTGGAAAATGTCAGTTTACATGCAGATGATGCACGGATTTATTTTCCTAATTAATCCTACAGTTTCCTTATTTGACTCACACTTGAACGTATAAACATACAATGAATTTTCCATCATGAGTAGCCAGATGATGTCAGATACACCCCTGGAAAATGTCGGCTTTCATCTGAAAAGAGTAGCCAAGACCTTTTTAATATATTCTGTTAACATTTTCACAGACAGTGTGAAGTTAATTTTTTGAATGTGAATTCCTCCCCATTCATAAAGCCTGTCAATTCACCTCATTACAGAAACATCAGTATGAATGCACCATTAATCTGATCAGAAAATGACAAAAACGAGCAAACATTAATTATTTAGGAAGCTTTTTGCTCAGTTTTAACAAACCTCACAGGGGGTGGAATCTGGAAAAACAAAGACTTTCCTGCATTAGAAGAGATGCTGAAATTAAAAGACACGAGGAAACCACTTAAATTTCTGTCTTTATTACAATTCACAGATTGGATAGAAGTTTAAGCTCATTTAAATAGAGTTTATCTAAAGGATACAAAAGACACATACAAGATGATAGCAATGCATTCCAGTGCATCTTTCAAAGAAAATAATAAAAAAAAAATCCTGGGATGTTTCCTGAAGCTAGAGTTAATTTAGCCTAATATCACTGATCAGCTGACTTCACATCTGAAAATCTGAACTAGTGACAGTTTGTACAGGAAAGAGAGCCACATCTTAATGGAGGAGAGTCTCGATAAACTGTTCCCGTGGTTCATTTACCTCCTTTACTTCACTTAGCCTGTTCCTGTGGATTTCTGTGAGCAGATTATAGACGTCAAAGTTACATCCTGTGGTGTTTCTGCATATTAGCAAGCCAATTTGTAGTGTGTGAGCAGCTAGAATCCTTTATCAGACGGGAATGGGATGCTATTCCTCTTGAAAAATTCCAGCAGCCGCTCTCCTCAGTGCCCAGATGTTTACGGACTGTTGTTCAAAGAAGAGGGGATGGTGCACAGAGGGAAATGTGGCCCTTTTTAGAGATGTGTTACCGCCATCAAATTCAAAATGAGCTCATATTTTCTTAAAATTGTCCATTTCTCAGTTTAAACCTTTAATACGTTTTCAGTGTTTTACTGTGAATAAAATACGGTTTCATGTTTCATCTTCACTTCACTGTTGCTGTGTGTATTTGAAGACATATTTAGTACAATAATAATGGAAACAAATTAGAATTACTGGGTATGTTTTGTTGTTTCTTATGAGCGACTGCACTGAGTGCAAAGGAAGTGCACTTCAACAAATCCACTGGAAGCTGCCCAGTATAACTGCAGCGTGACAGGCATCAAAGCAATAACCTTCCAGCCACACTCGCACTTCATAACATGGTTTAAAGCTCCCAGAAGTGCAGAAATAACGGGTTAAATTAAGTTAAAACAGCATTAAATGTTACAGAAGGAACAACACACTAAAACACTCTTTTGTCCTACATTTGTGTTTTAAAGGCAGATGACAGCACTTAGAACACCACATATTTACTCATTGTTAAACCACAGAACCACTAGAGAAGGAGAGAGCCTCTGGACGGCCCCTCGCTCTTCACTTTAGTCCAGTTCAAGACCTCAAAATGTCCAGAACCCAGGAGATTAATCAGAGCCCTGGCCATTATCCACCTCGAAAACCCAAGAACGTAAATCCTTAAAAGTGATTCTGGAGTTTTAATAAACTCTGACAGGATGTTCATTTCGCTCTCGGTCTTTCAGAGATGTAATGTGGCCCCTAACTCTGACATATCTCCTCATAAATCAGTTGATCCAACATGAAGTCAATTAAATTCAGTCGGTCCAAAGTTAGACGCACAAAAGAAACAATGATAATGTCATGAATTACGTCACTTTAAGGCAGCTGTTCGGGGAACAGATTAAAATCTGCAAACGAGGGAACAATTTATCACAAACTTCTCTCCTGTAAGACGACACTGACACCGTCGCTCAGCGCGAGACAAAGAGCCGAAGGACGACGGCGTCTGCTCAGAAAAACTAAAAATCGACCTGTGGAGAAGACACAAGAAGGAAAAGTACCCAAGTGGTACAACAGAGTACATCAGAGTACTACAAAATACATCAGAGTACTGCAAAGTATCTCAGATTAGTCCATAATATCTCAGAGTCCCTCTGAGGGACGGTTCTCTGATTATTTTTCAATACTCTCTGCAGTACCCTGATTACCCCAGTGTTCTGAGGCACACTGTAGTAGTACTGCATAGTACTGTGGAATACCTCACAGTACTGCGAAGTATTTAACAGTACTTCAGAGTAAGACCAATGCAGAGTAATCAGGGGACTGTTGAGTACTTCAAAGTACTGTGGAGAGTACCTCAAAGTATTAAAAAAAAACCCCTCAAAGTACTCCAAGGTACCTCAGGAGACTGGAATACCTCAAAGCATTTTACAGTCTTTTACAGGAATTCAGAGTACTGTGGAATATTTTTGAGTACTCTAGACTATTTTAATGTA